GTGAAAAAAATCATAATCTAAAAAATTTATAGAATAAATTTCTTTTTCATACATTTAACTTTATTAACACCTTTAGAAGCGACTTTTTTTGCTATTTTTCTGTCAGTCTTTTCTTTGTTTTTTTCTCACATTTTTTAAATAAAATCAATAAATATTGTCAATTAAGTAGGTAATTATAAAATAAAGAGCTCTATGACTTCTGACTTTTGAGGTTATGTGGCCGATTTATTACTGTATGTCAACAATTAACTTACTTTGAAACTGAATATCAGTTATAGTAACTTCAAAATTGATTAAAATACACTGTATTTTCTTGAAATTAACAGAATAAAAGATTTGCCAGTAAAAACAACAACTTTGCTGTGTCTTATTAATCGGGTCAAAGACATAAATATGAAGTGTACGTAAATACAACACATGCATTATGCTGTACCATTAACTGGGACCTTCAAATTTTAGATGTATGTATACTGACACATGGTTATAAATAAGAAATCCGCATTAAGAATACTGATCTTTATTTTTAAATATATTCCGGAATACCTTAGTTCATAAAAAAAGTATATCTTGACAAGGAGTTTAATTAAATTAAGAAAGAACTTAGTAAAGTGAAAGTCAAAATAGGTGCTGATTCATATGTTCCATACTCCTACAATGGCACAGTTTGCAATAAACATTTTTTTCGTACTATTCAATACGTACTATGGCTTAGAAAATAAGATGTATGATAAACGTTTTCACGTATAATACAACAAAATTTCTTTACAATCCTATATTTTCTCTATTGATTTTAAAACATAAAATTAATTGGGACGTTGTCTAACAATTACCTTAGGAGCTCACTTATAGTTTTTTAAACTTTTTCAACTCTGTATATAAATTATGTACTGTCAAAAGATTTTGTCAACCATTTGCACAAAATTACATTGGTAACAGTTATATTTTCTATAATTGTAATGAGCGTAAGTTGTTTTGTTTCATTGGCGTTTTTCTGTCAGTAATAGAATGCTGAGATTTTTTTCGATGTGTTAACATGTATAAATAACATTTACATTCTTGAAATTATTCAATTATTATTCAATTACAGCATGGCCTTGCAAACAAGAAGTATTGTTTAAGGCCCTTTATCTTTAGCCCCTATAACATCATATTAAGTCGCAACTAAATCTTTAAATAATTATAAATTGTTATATTAAGCGTAAGTAACGTCTTAAAAATAGGTAAAAACTAGCTGATACACCATGCTGTCGTTAATGCAACAAATACTTAATACGTTAGAAATTACTCATAGTATTGTTCTAATTTTTTTCTCCTTACCACTCTTAATAAATGATGGCTTACAAGAGCTACCAACAATAAAAGTAGATGCCATCTCCTACAATGTGACTGGCATCAACTTTAAGTGTTGCTTATGCTATAGATCATGCTTGGCTTGTTTTACATACCACAATTAAACGTAAGAATGCAGGACATCGTGGAGGCGAATGAGGACGATAGATAGCTAGGGGCGACAGCTACAGAGCAATGTCCATCAACTGCTTATAGTGTTGAATTGGTACCGCTTATAGGTGTATGCGGGATCAGTGGGATGTAGTACGTTTAGTAGCTCGTGAATAGCGCTGCTATGAAACAACGCGTAATCGTGACGTGGTACGTTACGACAATGGTAGTTCGTGTTGACTGTAGTGTCTTCAGTGCAAATATTATATTCCTGGAAAATAGGAGGAGAGAATGCCAGCAGATAATGAGCTAGACAACAGAGATATAGCAGGTCAAGCAATAGAGGATGAAAAAAGAAATTCATGACAGTCCTTACCCACAGCAGCCTTTTTAAAAGTAGCTGCGAGATGCGATAAGTATAAACGGCAATGGTAGTAGCTGGTAGCAAGAACACATTTTCTTAAGTCATTTTCAAGCTAAGCACCTGAAAGACCCTGTATTTTCAACAAGTTTTTTCGGTTGCACGTGTGAAAAAAAAGAGAGAGAGACATGTTTCAAAAGGTGTGTGGAAGTACAAAAGATACTAAAAAGAAGCACAAAGGTAGGCGTTTGTCAGCAGCTGTGTTCTTTCCAATAAAGATCTGACAATTTAAGAATCATTAAAGAGGCTCATACGAGGAAAAAAAAAAAGGGAACAATGAGTACAGCAAGATCCACTACAGGCGTCGAACTTCCACATCCCATTGCCAGCAAGCTTTATCAACGTCCAACACTATTGATCTTGGTGAGTCTTCTATCAGAAGTAACTTACACTTCAATTTTAGAACACGTACAAAGTTAAAAAAATTGTCTGAAACAGGTAAAAAATAGAGATAGAAAGGGTTTAGTTGACATAAGTGTATTTAAAAATAATAATGAACAAATAGTCTAGCAAAGCTAAAGCCAGAACAGGTTGGTGACACATGTAATGTAGCCATGACACTGGCATCAGTGTAAGATAATTTGCATTGAAAAAAAAAAAGTAATTAAACAAATAACATGTATAAAAAACCCTTATAAAGTTATGATAGTAATAAGAATAATAATAGTAATCATTATAATAATGACTGTTATAATAAACTCAAAAATAATAACAACCATAGGAAATTTAAATTCTAAACACAAATTAAAAACTATTTTCCAAAACTCTGATAAATTTACAAATATAATCTGACTAGGTAAAGATCAGACTCTAAAATTGCAAAGAAGTGGCATTGTTTACAGGATAGAGTGCGAGTGCGGATTGTTCTATGTAGGTCAAAGTAAGCGCAGGTTGGCCACACGTATTGACGAACGTGAGAGAATAGTTCACAAGTGTGATAAAAATTCTGTCATTGCTACGCATTGTTCTGAGTTCAGCCATATTTTCAAGTTCGATGAAGTCAAAATTTTGGACCAAGAAAACAACAAATTTAAAAGGGAATTTTCGGAGATGTTATATATTTCGTACTTCAACCGTAATGTTAATAGAAAACTAGATACCAATAAGCTACAGGATCATTGCAAGTCCTTTTTATATGAACTTAGAGACAGGATGCATGGATGGTGGTGCTCTTGACGGTAGTTGCCTGATAGGTGTGCTACTTAATGGCCACGTTTCTGTTGGTCGCTGTTTCCCTGTACACACATTGACCGTGGGTGCACCCTTATGTGGTGACAAGACCTTAATACCATATTACCACATTCAATATCTTTCAGTTACAAGTGCTGAGTCAGGATGTGACTTATATTATAAATAACTAATTTGTACATACATTTTAACTGGTAAAATCTATAATAGTAAGTTTATTTCATTATTAGTACACCATTGCCGTGGTTATGACTGACTAGTCTTTATCTGTCATGCTGCGTTTAACACTTTCATGTTCGCATCTGCATAGGTGACTTATATTTTTACCTAATGTAATATGTCATAATGTTTTTTATATCATAAATATTGTAATTTGTACAGTTC